TCTTCTCTGCGTTTGTGAAGCAGAATTGCTTACTCTTGCTTTAACACCGATCAGTAGTGCAGTTTTCTTCATGCTACATGTTCTCAGGCAGGAAGTTGTGACTCTTGGGGGCTGCAAAGAGGTTTCAGGGGCTTCATAATTACCATCTGTTTCTTTGTGATTAGATGGGTAAGTGCCCTTTAATTTTTCTGTTGTTATGTAGGGTCACAATATAGAAAAGTTTGAGCAGTAGTGCTTTGTTTCTAATTATCCATCTATCCATCATGTACTCATATGGCTTTATTGCGGTAATATCTGAGCTCAATCAGTCGCTGGAGAGACTGATCCACAAGTCTTCTGTCACACTAGATCAATGAAGCAGATCACAGTTAACAGATCTGTTTTTACTCCAGTCCCTCTGTCTCTGTGTGATATTTGGATTTCTCAGAGCAGATTATTTTACATTGTTTGAGTTTAAGTTTATGCACAATTCCTTCATCTAATTGAGAAAAGTAAATCAGATCTTTCAGAAGCAAAAAAAAGCATATATTAAATGTTATTGGTTCTTAGTGTGCCTTTAATTAAGAGACAACTTCAGAATAATGGTAGCAATTACCTCACCTACATGGTCTGTCTGAGCTCACTGAATTAGAGCTGTTATTGAAAGACGAATGTTACTAGGCCCTTACTTATAAGGGCATGAGATAATGTCCTGTTGCTGGCATCATGACTGTTCTTCTACAGTAAGGTGGGAATTAATTCTTCAGTGGAAGGGCACGCTACATGGCCAAGGTTTGGAACTAAAAAGGGACAAGCCCATGCCTTGTGTTTCTTCTGCTGGATAAGTTGGAATGTTGTTGCAGTATTTGTGGGCAAAGAAATGTCTGAGAGAGAATGATTTTTGTGATATCTTTTATTGGACGAGTTGTATATTTGGGAGAGCTCTGACCTTCCTCAAGTCTGAGCTAGAGAAGAAAATGAAGGCTGAGCTACATATCAGAGAACAGAGTCCAGACAAATTCAAATAGTCTGTTTGGAGGAATGCAGGAGGGCTGTGAAGTACGAATGAAGAGGCACTAACAGGAGCCATTATAAGACAAAAAAGGTGCAATAGAACATGCAATCTAGTCAGTAACAGAGCAAAACCATTCAAGAAGGGGGCAGCTACTACCTGTGAAGTTCAGGGAAATTATTGGCAGTATTTGCTAAGTTGTAACAAGCCATGAATCCATTGCCTGTTATAAGTTCAGATTTTTATTGCCTTGTAGAGTTATAAATTTCTGTTTCCAGGTTTGTCTTCTGGAGGTGTTTTGTAAATCCCTTTCAGCATGAGAATTGTGAGATTGGAGAGGGAGCATGTGTTCTGTGAAAACAGTGCTTCTACCAGTGTCTGTGTATCTTTCTCCTTTATACAGGGTCTTCATAAAGTCATTGTGCACTTTTAAACTTCAATAACTTAGGTTGTAGGTATAATAGAAACAATCTGCAAATGGCATTTTAAAAGCAAATTTATTAGAGTTTTTGGACAACTACAGTACACAATGCTAGACTTCAACATAGCCACCATCCATCATGATACAATGCTCAATCTGATCTTCCAACTCCTTGAAAATGTTTCTCAGTTGCTCTTGAGTTACTGCACTAATTGCATTGGTGATCCTAGCCCTAAGTTCCACCAAAGAATATGGTTTTGACAAGTAAACTACACTTTTAACATGCCCCCATAAAAAGAAGTCCAACGGTGACAGGTCCAGTGAACGAGGTGGCCAAGCAATTGATCCACATCTGCCTATCCACTTCTCTGGGAAAACGTCATTTAGGAACTGTCGTACATTCAGAGCATAGTGGCATGGAGCTCCATCTTATTTAAGAATAAATTTCATAGATTTCATAGATTTCATAGATTTTTAGGGTCGGAAGGGACCTTGGTAGATCATTGAGTCTGACCCCCTGCCCTGGGCAGGAAAGAGCGCTGGGGTCAAATGACCCCAGCCTGGTGCTTGTCCAGTGTCCTCTTAAAGACCTCCAAGGTATGGAAGAGCACCACCTCCCCTGGAAGCCCATTCTGGATTCTAGTCACCCTTACCATAAAGAAGTTCTTCCTGATGTCTAATCTAAATTTGTTCTTACTTATGAAGTCTAGCATTGTGTACTCTAGTTATCCTAAAACTTTAATAAATTTGCTTTTAAATGCCATTTACAGATTGTTTCTATCATACCTACAACCTAAGATATTAACGTATTAACATTTGAAAGTGCACACAGACTTTATGAAGACCCTGTCTTTTTTCTGTGAGAGAGTTCATTTTGATGCGTAGTTCCTGTCTAGTTTCACTCACATAGTTTCCGTGAGGGACTCTGGTAGACTGGATGAGACATACCATGTTCTGTGATGTACATATGTGGGATCCGTGGAATTTTATGATTTTGTCATGAGGAGCATTCGCTGTTGCAAAGCTGGAAATGGCTTAACAGGTTGTGCATTTATTGTTGAGGCCTGGTTGTGGTCCATCTGGAGTCTGTTGATTGGAGGGGAGCTTGGCCCAGGTTTGGGTGTTGCTTAAAGGCCCAGAGTGGGGGATTTGGGAATATTTCCCTCCAATCTATTTTTTATTATAGGATGTAATTGCTTGATGATCCTTCTTCTAGGTTCCAGTATGTAATGGTATAAAACAACCAGAGACGTGTGATTTGTGAGAATTTTCTTTTTGTATTGTGGTAGGTTATTGCAGGGTGTTTGTGTGGCTCATTCAAATACACAATCTGTGGTGTTTGCTGGAGAGTCCTTGCTGGGTAAAAGTATCTTTCAGGTTAGAAGGTCATTGCAACCTGAAAGGCCGTCACTATCTTAGAAGGGCATTGTAGTGTACACTAGGCAGACAAAGAGACCATAAAAGTAGAATGGATAAAGTCTTAAGGCCAAGAGGCATGCCTGGATCAGCGTTCTGAAAGTTAGGTGATGAACTTAGTGAACCTATCATTAATTTTCTATTTCTATCTATTAGCATTCATTTTACCCAAATCCTTTTTAAATGGAAGCTTACACATGGTTTTTCTCTTCACATACACACACATCATACTTTAAGACTAACATTTTATACTTGAATGCCTAAAGTTCCACACCTATATCTGTTATATTTTCTATTTTTACTACTACTGAACACTTGCAGTTCCTTCTGTTGTCACAACTCAAATGTTGCAGAAAGTAGATACGTGCTCTCCAGGCTGCTCGATACGCACAATGTCTGTTGTTTAAATCTATACACCAGTACAGTATGTTTGTTTGATTACATGGGTAGGTCCAATTACCTCATGGAATACCATGAATCTTCTTGTAGGCATCCCAGGGAGATAATTTGGACTTAATGAAGATCTATAGTAATCAGATAATTACTATCGATTGCTCTTTAGACATCTTGATGAGGTAATTAGGGTGCACTGGAAAGAAGCTGGAACTGATTGATTGGCAAAACCTTAATCTAAAAGGTTTCTAATTATGTTTCTTTTCTTCTAATGGGTTATGAACAAACATCATTTTAGCTTTAGAATTTGTCAGGTGCCAGGTTCGTTGGGGACATTGGCTTTCTCTATTATGTTAACTAGATACTGAACGTGTTCAACAGTAGCTCATTAGGCCTCACTGTTGATGTGGCAGCAACTTCAGTTTCTCTGGACTTTACTTTCTGTTCTTAATTTCCAAAGTCTCTGTCTGGCACATGGAACTGTGTGTGTGTGTATGTCTCTGCATGCATGAAGTATTTTGTATGTATGGTAATGATTATGCCTGTGTGTGATTGTCTTTCTGGCTGTGTTTATATAGGAAAAGAACATAAATACTTTTGTCTTTCATGCATGCTTCAGTTGGCCTGAATATCATTGTGGTAATATGCTGAGATGATGAGGAGATTCACTATCCACCATGCATGTTAATAGTCCTAAGCATATTTTATACTTTTCTGTAGCAGAGCAACGGCCTTTTCAGTCTCATCAGTCACTGTATGACCTGCACTTTTATACTTAAGTACATCCTTCTCTAGCACTGTTCTCTCTCATGTTTTGCATTTGTTTTCACAAGTATTTTGTTTGCAAAATAGCCCTCTGAAGGTGTATCATTTCTTTTGCATATCCTGCTTCATAGTATGTTTTAAAACAGGCCAAAATCTGATTGGCCAGTAGTACTTATCTGATGTGAGCTAATGGGATCGCATCTTCTTATATAGGGGCTCTTTAAGGGAAAATATAAAGGATGCTATTAAAAGGCTTTTCAGGGGGGCAAACTGTCCAAGGTGACACTTGATCAATATGCAAGGGCTACTTCTACGCACAGGCTTTGAATCTCACAGCAATTAAGCAAGCCTCATATGGGACCCAGCACATCATGTAATGCTGCATTTTCCAGATGGAAATATACATGTGTGAAGTTCTGCTGGCTAATGCAGGCCATGTTTGTGCTTTTGGAATGCCAATGTATAGTATTAGGAGTGCTGTATGTGATTTTGCTTAGGCAGCCTAGTACAAATGAGGTTCCTATCATTATGTACGTGCATATTGGGCACATCTACATGAAACAGTACTGTGCAGGGGTTTCTGTGCATTTATTTAGTACATATATAATCAAGTACTAAATAAATGTGCAGTAACTGGAATTACTGTGCAGTAGCGCCAGCAAATGTCATTTAGTTACACTACTGTGCAGTACCCTAATAATACTGCGCAATAGTGTATTAATATTGTGCTGTGACGTGCTACTGCACAGTATTTTTAAGCTACTGCACAGTCAGTGTCTCGTGTAGATGCACCCACTGAGATGTTGTTCTTTCCAGTAAATAAGTAGGTAGGTAGACAGGCAGACAAGACAGATAGATAGGTCGGTTGGTTGGTCTGGGTGCCTGTATTCCCTGTTACACAGACTGTATCTGTAGTAGTTAATCTTCCAGAAGCAGAAGTACAGCATGCCATTTTATAACACATTTGTAAATAATGTCTGTGATCACAAGGTGACTACTTTCTGTCTATAACAGGAAGTTCTACAGCTGGAAAGGCAGATGGGAGGACAGTTACTGGAAGAACCAAAGGCTCTGCATTTTAAGGGAAGCACCCACAACCTCCGTTTGTCTATTCATGATATCGCTCACTCTCTCTGGAAGAGCAAATTGCTTGCTAAATACCAGGTAAGAATTACAGATTGTTTAAACAGTGATGGACAAGCATGGGCCATTAGAAGGGACATTAGACATTAGAAGGGCCTGAAGTTATGCAGTAGTACACAAGTGTACACTGATATTTTTTTTTAAATACACACTGTCTGTTTAGGTTTCTGCCCTCTGATATTCCTGCCTATACAGTCTTCTGTATTGAATACCAGTCCTCTCCATTGTATTATGCATTGTCTAGTTTTAATTTCTTTAGTAAATTCAATGGAGTAGAATATTCAGGTTCTATTAACCATCTTCATTATTGCTAACCGAGCAAAGCAGCCCGGAATTTGTTTGTTTTTTAAAATGAAAATCAAAATTTCATCTTAACACACTGGGAAAGAAATTTTGGTCAGTGTGATTAGAAAATCCACTACAGGTAGGAATATTCAGTGTAAAAAGAGTGAGAATTAGAACTGAGTATTTGTGCACAGTGGCTGCTACTGCCAAAATATATGCACCCTTTTGGCTGTTTCTAGAATAGGACCCACTCTTGGCAAGTGAAGGCTTCACGGAGATATTAGGGTGACCAGGCCTTTTGTACTCAATTAGGGTTTGGTCTTAAGAAAGGATAAAACACTTGTGCACAAACACACACATCTCTTTGTAAAGTTTGAGAGAGAACAGTAGAACACCCTTGGATATATTAAGGATTTTCCTCCCTGAAGGATCAAGTAAAGATTAAATTCTTTTTTTCCTTTCCATCTCATCCGTCACTTGCTAGGGCTCCAGTGCAATGCACACTTGTTCATGGAGAGTGTAGCAGGGCACTAAGACATGCCTGATCCTTTAAGACTGAAGCATCCTGCCATGGGAACTCTGCAGGCTAATCAGAGCTCCACAGCTGTGGGTTGCTGGGGGTAACAGCCTAAGGGGGTAATTGGGCAGCACCTACAAGTGTCACATGACCAGAAGGAGGCAGGGTTTGGGGGTATATGCGTCCAGAGCTGGAGCTTGCAGGAAGACTCTCTGGCAACTGCCAGGGAAGGAGCTCCTGCATGAGGAAGCTACCTGAGACCTGGTGCTGCTTGCTTTGCTACCCAATGCTGCAAGACTTTAGGAGCCTCCCAGGTACTTAGGCTGGGGAGCATGCTGTACTAAGGGTTGAAGTTTGTCCCCTTAAGGGGACACAGCATGGTTGTCACTTATAATGTTTAAGTTATAGCCTAGGGCTTATGCTTGTATTTACGTTTGCACCAGAGAACTCGGATGAGGCTATAAGGGGAGGTTTGGAGGCCTCAGCAGTGATTTGGGTAAAGCCCAGTGTTAGGCACAGAGAGAGACAGAGGCAGCAGGAGGGCACAGCTGCAGGGATGCAGACAGCCCTACCGCCAAGAGGGTGTAGCTACCAGGGAACAGAGCCCAGCACCAGAGGGGCACAGATGTGAAAGATAGTAGTATAAAACCTGAAAGTTGGGACATGATATAGGGGCGATTGGAGTCATGTATTACTTGGTATTAGGGCATAAAAGGGTAGCCTCCCTCCTAGAAACAACTTCTTAAGTACGTCAAAAGGTGTGGCAGGCGAGACAGGTGGGTGGATTGCCCTGGCCAGGCAGGCAGGCTGACAGAGTAATCGGCCTCAGGACAACACCCTGTCACAGAATGTTTAGAATAGTGCTAGAATGTAGGTGACCATTCAGAATGGCAGAGGTAAGTTCTTCTTCGTGAGACTCGTGAGTCCATTTGCTATATTCACACTTTCTGATGCTTTCTGAGAGCTGAGTTGAAAACCTGATGAGATATACCATGACTGTTGATGAGCATATTTAAACTGTTCCTTACTTTTCCTCCTGCAGGAAATTCCCTTTTACCACATCTGGAGTGGGTGTCAAAGAAACCTACACTGTACCTTTACTCTGGAAAGGTTCAGCCTGAGCACGGTGGAGCTTGTGTGTAAACTCTGTGTACGGCAGGTCGAAGGAGAAGGACAGATCTTCCAGCTCAACTGTACGGTATCAGAGGTAAAGATCCAGCTATCTCCACACTAAGCAATGAGGGAAAAGGAGGTGACACATCTCTTGACATGTCCACATACCCAGTGATTCGTGCTTGGTACATCCTTTAATTTTCTTTCTTTCTTGATGTTGGGAGGCTATAGGCTTTCCAATCTTTCTCCTTCCTAAGGAGAGCTGAATGTACTTTTCTTTCTCATTGAGGCTAGGTAAAAGGATGGATTTAACTGTCATCTTTTCTCTTCTCTTATGGCTCTCTGTACTGCTTTGCTGGCTTTTCTTTTCACGCTCTTTTATGGAAGATAGCAACCTTCCTTTAAAAGAGTCAAGAAAGCAATGATGGAAATGTGCCTTGTCTTTTTCCTTTCTGTGTGTGGTTTCTTCTTTCACCCACTCAAATGGAGAAGTTCTACCTCATGAAGCATACAGTGTCTAGGTCCTCCAGCAGTCTACTCACTGGGCATGTCTACACTTGTAATTAATGCACATTAAGGTTACTGTGTAGTACTGTATGGCCAGGAATGCATCTACAACTGCTCCAGATGGGAGCAGTTCAGTGCAGGGCTGCTGCAGCCCTGCTCTGGCCCTCTGCAACAGCCAGGGGGAGCTCCAGGCCCCCTTGGGTACCAGCCCCAGGCTGGCAGGGGGGAAAGGTGTTAGGTTTTGGCTCCAGCATGGGAGGACCTGTGTCACTTCTGAGGCATCTCCCTGCCAGCCCCTCAGCATGGGGCAAGTGGGGAATTGTCCCGCTTGTGGGGCAGCTCCCTTGTGAGCCCTGTGCCAAGCAGGGCTTGCCTGGCTTGGCACAGGGCTAGGGGGGAATTATCCTACTTGTAGAGAAATTCCCCCTGCCCCTGCTGTCTGGGCTGACTGGTACTGCACAGTTAATCTAGAATTTTTTTTTGTTGGTATTAGGCCTAATTTACTGCACAGTAAATGCTGCACACATATAGTCGCTGACACTTTAGATGCACATGTAGATGCACCTACTCAGCCTAAATATGCTGTATCAATGCAAACCAATCTGTTCTGACCCTACAATAACTGCTATGAAATCAGTAATATCAGATATTAGATCTTCAATAAGCTTGCCTTCCATCTGTTACTGCCAAGCATAAGTAACTTGGCTTTAACTAAGGTCTTGCAATTACAACAATGACAATAATTTGGTCAAAATAATTCTGACCACCTTAATTTAGGACTTGAAGGATTGTGCTTCCCTAGAAGAAAAAATACCCTCAGATGTAACAATAAATAATACATTGAGGCTGAGGAAGGAGAAGGTCAGACACTGCCAATTCTTTCACAGAATGTCACTGGTAGTAACTGTGAGCAAGTGGGAGCACATAGCCAGTGCACAGGGAGTCACACACAAGAAGAGAGTTACCATTCACGCTGATTTTCATGAGCTTGTCTCAAGTCATTGAAACTAGGGGTACAGGGCAGCATATCCTAAAATAATTTGAGCAATGATGACATATGAGTCACAGCATCGAAGTCATGAAGTGACCTCAGGAACTCAGAAAATAATTATACAAGAGGAAGAATGCTACTGTTTGTCTTGGAGACCATTATTCCTAGCAATAACAGAAAATAGGGAATTAGATTAATAGATTCATAGATGCTAGGGTCAGAAGGCACCTCAACAGATCATCGAGTCTTACCCCCTGCCTGGGCAGGAAAGAGTGCTGGGGTCAGATGACCCCAGCTAGATGCCTATCCAGCCTTCTCTTGAAGACCCCCAAGGTAGGGGAGAGCACCACCTCCATCGGAAGCCCATTCCAAATTGTGGCCACTCTTAACATAAAGAAGTTCTTCCTGATGTCTAGCCTAAATCTGCTGTCTGTCCACTTGTGACCATTGCTCCTTGTTACCCCAAGAGGCGCCCTGGTGAACAAAGCATCTCTGATTCCTTGCTGCGCCCCCCTAATGAATTTGTAGGAGGCCACAAAATCAAATGCAGAAGCTGAAGAGGTCCCAGTCCCTTACTCTCTCCTCAAAGGTCTTGGCCTACAAACCCTTAACCATATGAGTGGCCCTCCTCTGGACCATCTGCAGGGTATCCACATTCTTCTTAAAGTATGGTGCCCAAAACTGGACGCAATACTCCAACTGCATTCTGACCAATGTCGCATAGAGGGGAAGTATCACCTCCTGGGTTCTCTTTGTCATGCATCTGCTGATGCATGATAAAGTGTGGTTAGCTTTGCTGATGATTTTGTCACACTGACGACTCATGTTCAGCTTGGAGTCCTCTATGATTCTGAGACCCTTTCCACTGCTGTGCTGCTGAGAGGGTCACTTCCCAGCCAGTAGGTGTGCTGGATATTTTTATACTCTAGGTGCAGCACTCTGCATTTGTCCTTGTTGAACTGCATCCTATTTTGTCCTGCCCACTTTTCCAACCTGTCCGGGTCTGCCTGCAATCATTCCCTACCCTCCACTGTGTTCATTTCACTTCACAATTTAGTATTATCCACAAACTTGGACAGAGTACACTTCATGCCCACATCCAAGTCACTGATAAAGACATTGACGAGTACAGGTCCAAGGACTGAGCCCTGCAGGACCCCACTGCCCACATCCTTCCAGGTTGATACCAACCTATCCACTAGCACTCTCTGGGTGCAATCCTCAAGCCAATTTGCCACCCACTGGACTGTGTAATCATCTAAGTCACAGCTTCTTAATTTATTTATGAGAATAGGATGAGATACCGTATCGAAGGCCTTCCTAAAATTCAAGTATACGACATCCACCTCTACTTCTGGGTCTAAGTGTTTTGTGACCTGGTCTTAAAAAGGAATCAGAGTAGTCAGGTATGATCTACCTGCTACAAATCCATGCTGGTTGTCCTGCTGCATTATTTTTCCTGCTGGGCTCACACAAATATGATTCCTAATAATCTTATCAAAGACTTTTCCAGGTATTAGGTCAGAGAGTGGCTGTGAAGTATTGATGTAAATAAAGTTGCAAGGGATTCTTGTGTAGAAGTAGACATTAGTCTGGCAGATGAGGTTCAGTTACCCGGTAGGGGTGAGGGCACCCGTTGTAACAAATCTGATTTTTTGGAAAGGTACTTAAACTGTTTGTCTCCCATGCAGTATGCAAATGACACACGAAAAGTAAATTGTTCTGTCTTGTTTTTCTGCCTCATATTCAAGGAGAGTCTTCATCCATCAAGCAGCAACCTTGGCCCACACAGCCCTTTTCTCTCTTTCCCACAGCCCACTGCAGTGCGGTCACCATTTCCTCCCAGAGTTTCACAAGGCTTTCAACTTACAAACAACTTCAGTCAAAGGCCCTACTGACATTAATAAGGAATGATCCTAGTGTCACGATGCCATAGCAACCGCCAGCGCTTTCCGTTCTGCAAGCCGTATCTCTGAGCCGCACAGCTCCACCCCTGCTGGCTCTAGATGGCATTTTCACTTTCCAGGCCCAGCAGGTCTGCAAAGTTCAATAACTTGCAAAGCTCCAACAACAACAGAAGGAGCAGAATTTTGGAGGAGGGGGGCTATCCCTTTGATGACTGCCTTCTGCTTGGGCTGCACGTACATCAACTGATGAAAAGGAAGGTGGATCAGACTTAGAAACAAATGACAAGGAGACTAAAATACAGTCTTTGTGGAGACATGATCCTTCAAATAGTGTTGATGCAACTTAAAGACTTTCTGTCAGTTACCCCAGGATAATGAAATTGATTTCTTTCATGGTTCTGCTGCAGCATGAACCTTCCAGATCGGATGGACGGGAGAAATGTCAGCGAGGTTTCTTCATAAGCAGCTGACAACTTAGGCAAATAAATAAATCAGTGTAAACTGGGTAGCTCTGAGAGATAGTAAAGAGAATCCACTACCAAGTCCTGGTCACAATAGGCTGTAGTGACCAAAAAAGTCAGCAAGGGGCTACTGATCTGTGTGAAAATGTTGGAGGCCTTTGTGCCTGATTTCTAATGATTTCTAATGAGCCTGGATTATATGGGCATTGGCACTCTATATGTCATTATATCAGGTGGAGGAATATCACGAAAAAGGATAATAGCAAAGGCACTAATTCCATCCCAGCTGGCAAGGACTGAAAGGCCCAGAGAAAAAATTATCATCTACTTCCAAAATTACTTCCTTCCACTGCTAAGGAATAAATCATGTGAACAAGGTGGTTGTATTGGATCTGCTGGATAGAGGGCTTAGGTTCCCACAGTGGACAAGCTGACACCTTTTAGAAATCATTGAATTTGGTTATTTTTTAACTTAAAAAATCCCTACCATCTTCCTCAATTATTTTGCAGTTCCTTTTCTATATTCCAGCTGTAAATCCCTGTAAAAGAATTGGCCCCAGGGACAAGACTAGCCAGGCACAGCTACAATAGAGGAGGCATCATTATTACATTGTTAAGAGGAAGCTACTCAGTTACAACCATCATTTTAGCAGATATGAAAGAGCAGTCATACTTTCAACCATGAAATCATAAGAAGGGGGAGTTTCTGGGTGACTTTTGGAAGGACTGTGAGATGACAATCAAAAGTTACTTGTTCTGCAGAGCCCTGACAATGTATGCCATTACCCATAACATCTGTTTGGTTATTGGATGTAGTTATATATTCAGCTGGGGACAACACAACGTTAAAGACAGATGGTAAAGGAACTATCATAAACAATTATTGTAATAAGTGCTGCATTGAGGTAATCTCTAATTTAACATAGCACTGGTAGTAGCTTTAATGAAACTCAAGTACACACTGTAATCATCTTCATGTAACAGAATCTGGTAATAGATTTAGAAGGAACAGAAATAATACCGTTGTCTTGTGGTGTCATCCCATCCATCGGGGATGAAGGCAGTAAGAAAATAATACTATCATTATCAAAGTTACGGATCATGAGAGTTGTTCATTGAGGTTGGTACATGGTGACATTTTCACACCCACCATATAAGGGGCAGGAGGAGCATTAGATGTTGAGAGCTGACATGCACAACTGTGTTAGCACATTCATTAGTTAATCGT